TCTGGTTCAGTGAAAAGTAAAAGAATAAATCAAGATTATCCATTGTTTTCACGGAGCCTCGTGTCCGCTCTTTTGTACATAGTCATCGAACCAAAATATCTAAAGTTGACTATTCCCATGTTTCGTATGCAATTCCTATTTTAGTGAACGAAGTCATTTGAATGAATAAACGGAATTTGATTCAGACGTCGGATTTTCATGTATTGAATATTCCCTTTCGGTAACTGTGTTTTTTGACATGGTGTATAACAAAGGCAACTTTTTCCTGCAAAGTATGCATTACATTCGGCATTGTCAGAAGTTATAGATAGAAAGTCGCACAATTGACATCTATTTTGCCCAGACACAAATTTGACTGAAGTAATGTTTAATTTAGAACTGTCGAATTTTAATTCACAGAAGTTCACATGCAATTGATTCGTGAATTGTATTCGTCACATGTAAAGTTCGGGGTATCAACTGGGCTCTGTACTTTGCTCAATATTTCAAGGGTTATTCATAACCGATTCTAAAAGCGCACAACTCGAGATTATAATCCCCGCATATAAGAATTCTAATCCAAATATTGAATCAACGCCGAGCTGTCYGATCGACGTAATATGATAAAAGTAACTTTCAAAAAGTAAAATTGTGTAATGCTTATTGACACTTCCAGCTTTAATCCTCAGATAGAGAGACTGGTGATCGTAAAAAAAGATTAATGCAACAGACGCCACAATTGCTCAGAATTCTAGATGTACCATTTGTATAGGCCCTTATTAGCAATATAATATTTGTGTGCAGACCTACTTTCATTCTTTTTAAATTTTGTTTTGTAGTTATTTTGGAAGTATTRGCTCTCAAATACAAAAAAAAAAAGACAAAAAAAAAACGCTAATTGTACAGAAAGGAAGGAAARACAATACTTATAATGGCACATGGAGACTTGTTTCCACGTTGGCGATCACTTTGTTTCGTCTGTTGCTGTTTGGCGTTTTAGTCAAGTCAAGAACTTCCCCACAGTCTCCGGCGCCCCCATGAACACTAACTCTCGCCGAGCGAATATTTGCGTTTTTGAAGTAAACAAGTTTTGTTTGATCTACACATTATACAACGCCGCATTGAGTCCATATTGTTAGCGTGGTTATATGTGTTAAATAAAGGTTTGCTTGCAAGTGGAAAAGCAGCAACKTTGTGATGATAACGTACTCATAATGTTCTTGTGAACGAGCCTTTTTCGCGCGCTAGAACTTTATCAATCCAAGCGCGTTAAGCAACACAATCTATTCCACTAGCTAACGTACGTTTTTAAGGCGTGACTACAGCTCTTCAATACCTTAAAATCTTAAGTAATTAATTAATTTTATGGTGACCTATATAGACCAAGTAAAGTTCGCAGTGATAGMTGCTAAAGAACACTCAAAAAGGGTTCAACTTAGACGGTGCTATTTTTTAAGGCTTTTTTTATGACCAACTACCCGCTTTCTTTAAACGATAAAACACCGGCAATCCATCCTTACGGTCGGAAAGACTAGATTTAGACATCATCATATCGCAGACGCTAAAACCTGCTTGGTTAAAATACCCAATGAAAAAAGCCGATACCATTAGATATTTTGATGGCATGACTGATGCGTTTTGGATCACGAGTCGAAAGTCCAATTGTATTATATCATACCACCGTAGCAAAATACTGCTTATAGATATCCCTAGTGCATTTATCCAATAAGTGTAAAACACCATCTTCATATCTCTGTTGCTTTTAATCCCCCTTTGCCTACGATATCTCAGATCAAAAAGATCAAAACTATGGCATTAACTTATGTCTTTGCGTTTTCCTGTTCTTGAGTGATCTCTCATCCAATAGTTGAATCCGGCGGCTCCACCAATAATCGTTTAAGCTCTGAAACTTAGCTGTCAATCAAATRCATTGACAGACACGCCTACGCGAGGGCATGCTTTAAAACACGGTTTGAAACCAGGTTATATTCAGTACAGACTGAAGCACATGGAGTATCATGATTCGCTGTGCTGTATTGACGAGATACGCAAGAGGATGAAAGCTTTGGTTGTTATCCATGAGAGCCACTTGAAGGTGAATCAAAACACTTACAAATGCAAAGCAAAATAAGGCTTTGCTTTACCTAAATTGATTGAATCTTTCTCAGCTTCATTTCCCATTTCAAGATTACTGAAATACGTTTATTGTTTAAACCAAAAAAAAAACATAAAATTCATTCGTTATGTATTTATATTTTGCTTTTGCTTTTTGCTTAAAAATCTCTAACTACCTTAATCACCTTAACAAGTACCATTCCATTCCATGGTATATCCTTCAATCATTCATTTGGCCACCCAAAAAATGACTCCATAATTCAAATTTTAACTCTTTTTCGCTTACTCACCAATTAAAGCAATATATAGATTTAGCGTTTTACAACACACTTTGATTGGTCTAAAAGCTTCTTGGTTTCACTGCTTAAGAGCGCGCTCTCAAAGAACCGCATCTCTCCCTGTCATATAAACGATGAACGATGAACTTTCGAGGTTCATTTGTGAATAACTTGTAGTTTTTTTTTTGAGTGTTCTCTATATTCGCCAAGTGCTTTATTTTGATTATAWACCATAAATGTCCGCCCATTATTGCTTAATTAGAGAAAATGTAATACTAAAAGACACTTTTTTGAGTACTCTAAGTATAAAAACAATGTTTTGGATGGAACACCTAAGTACAAAAGATGCTATACGATATCAGGTATTTTGGCGAGTAAGTGCGATGTGATACTATAAGATGAGTAGACGTCGCTTTTAAGTAAATACTACTCTAGCATTCATTCGTATGCATCAGTCCCACGCTTATTGGATAGACGTTATCGCATTCATATTGAAAACCATTTCACACTGACGATTTTTGTGCGATTTTTGATGCGATTATTGGTGCGATTTTGATGCGATTTCTAATGTGATTGTTCATGTGATTTCGCTGCGATTTTTGATGCAATTTTCTTGAATCGATATTTTGAGACGATTTAAAAGATATAATATATTTTGCCTTATCTTTGTGAAAAGACGTTAAGTTAGCTTATCTCATCAGTCTACTGAGGAAAGCATCACTCAATTTTGGGAAAAGAAAAAAATAAAGTTAGGTTAAGGTGTCAGACGAAGAAAAAACATCAAAATTTTTAGTTTGCTTTTAACCAATRGTCTAAGTAGAATAAAAGTTAACAGCACTCAGACTGACTTTCACGTCATCTTTAAGGTAGTAATAGACTCTACTTGCACTCTTCAAACACACTTAAAACAGGAATACAATAGATAACTTCAAAATGTGTGGATGCCACATATGTCCCTAAGTCCAGGTTCATTTTGGTCTACGTCTCTATGCTCAGCAAAAGTCCTTTTTGCGTCGATTTTTATGGCGATATTAGCTATCATTTTTTTCCTAAYAAATAATGTTATGTTATAGCGCTCTCTTATTGGTCAAATGATATATTGTTTATTTCACTGGTAAACGCACGAATGCGAAGATTCTATAATATAAAAGCAGCAAACAGCACATTTTCGTGCATTACTTGTGAAATAAAACACTTGGGATGATGGGAAAACACTCAAAAGCCTGAACATCTCTCGCCTAATTATAAGGCATGAGTTTTTTTATGGCTTTTTCGTATTCACCCAACATCCCGCGTGGTTATTTTCACCAGAAACGCACGAAAATGTGTTGTTTATTGCTTAATTAAAAAATCAATTTGTAAAGCCTGTGTCATTTTTCATTTTCAAGATCCCCGATCCCAAAGGTTAAAATACCGAATATCTTATACAAAGACAAACGATCCCTGGTGTCTGATCCCATAGAAAGAGCGAAATTTGGTATACCTATGAAAATGAGCGTCAATTAACTTGAGCCGGGACCGTACCGTTTATCGTTGAGTCAGCATTTCTCATTTTATCGTGTCTTGTCGTTCAGTGTCATTGATCCCAGGGTAGTAACCTAGTATATGGGGTCAGGGATTATTTTCAGCATTAGGGATCATATTAGTTAGTTTGTTTGCTTGTGTTTTT